ATAACTGATCCTGTTAGTGTTTTTTACAGACCCTAAACAATACCCATTTTGATAAACTTAAAACAGCAAATACATGTAATTTAAAGTAAAAATAATCAAATCCCCAATAACAAATTAAAATACACTACCAATAACTAAAATATGCAAGTAATGCCATTTTTTTTTTATTATACAGTAACTTGTTGCATTCCATGTACTTTGGCATCTTGCATGTGCATCCAATCTGGTGGCCATGTTTACTGCTTTCATGCTTCATAAGTTTTTTCATTTCAATTGTTGGTATTACAACTTTCCTCTTAGACTTGATTGCTTCCACACACTTCTTGAATGTCATGGTTAATAAGTAAAGGTTATGTTAGGTTGAATAAAGTTTTTGCATATTATTAACAGCTGTCATTATTTAACACAGATGTGTTTTTAATTATTAAAATCAGATATAAACAGTGGTGGTATTCAGCAGGTTCGCACAGGTTCGGCCGAACCCGTTGTTAACATTTTCAAAGTTTTCTGAACCTTGTTAAACACACAACATTTCTCAATGGTTTTGTTTCTTTTAAAAAATATATTAAAATATACGTATTATACTCTGTAACACTACTAAACTAGAGCCTTATACCCCGTTTGCCTTGGTACGACCTCCCTCAACTGTTTCAATCTCGACTGAAACGAGGTTCAATTGCAATTGACTCAAGAGAGTTCTTGAAACTAGATCCAGTCATAAGAGAGATCCCTTAATCCCATGCGCGCGAGAAAATACAAGATGGTATTGTTGGACTATCGACAGTGAAATAAAAGAGAGATTGTATTTCGAGAGATGATGACATCTGTATTATTAGATATATATTGCAAGAAAAAGTATTGTATTTATTTCTAACCAAAACTTCCATTTTGTTTGTCAGTGTTTGTCACTTACCACGTAGTTATGTCAGTTTTATCATCGTGTGTAATATATATCTTTTTTTATTTATATGAGTATCTTAAGGTCAGTTTTTGTGCTAATGTTGCTAATCCACCATTTGAGTGAAAAAAAAATTAAGGAAAAATTTTCTGTTGGCAAACCCTTTAAATATTTCGAATATCACCACTGTTTATACTGTATTTAAAAAATATTAGTTTTTCAATCCCATTTTCAGTAAGAGGACTTTTTTTTAATCTGAGCAAGTACCTAGATATAATCTGCCCCATTCCTCAACATTCCCAATGGAGATGTTGAGGGATGGGGCAGATTATATCTGGGATTGCTTACTCAGATTAGTTTCCTGGTTCCCCAAAGCAGCATGTTGATAGCTCAACTGCCTCAGCCATACTTCTGTATATATTTGAATTAAGATACTATTTCTTTGATTTCCCCTTGGGCAAGAGTAGTATTGATGCTCTTTTTATAATAGCTATTAGACTGCATTGTTATAGCATAATGCAATATTTTGCTTAGTTATTTTTTAAGCAGAATTAACATGAGAATATTGACAATGAAAATGTGATGCTTCAAACTACACAACCACAAGGGTACACAAACAATTTGAAAATGCAATGACCTTCATCCTACTAGTATAAATTAGATATTATGAAATAAGTCAACAAATTATATACTAATTCATTCATGTCGGTACTGAACTAAAAATATTTTACCCAAAATGTTTAATTCAGTGTTCCTAGTATCAGTGAATTTAGAATAATTCTGCAGGCTCAGTATCAGTGTACTTAGTTCTTCAAGCATCAATTAAAAACATTTTATATGGCTACATTAACTTATTTTTAAGTTAAATGTTAAGCACCCATTCTTAATTTAAATTTAAAATACTGCCTTGGCAATTAAGTCTTTATTAAGGCTTCCTATTACTGAGAACCCAGGATTGAATCTGAGAGGGTGAAAAAACCCTAGGAATTTAGGGATAGTCTAGTCAAACCCATCCTTCACTACTCAGTAGCCTCATTTGTGAGCGTGACCAAACACAATAGATATTAACTGGCTTTTGGCTTTCTCCACGTTATTTTTTTGGCTTTTCCATCCTGTGGAAAATAACATGCTAGAGATTTAATCCACAGCAAATCTAGTTGTCATTCTGTATTTAATCAGAGAATTAAGATCAGTTTTTATACTTTTCACATAAAGTTGAATATCACACTAATGCAAATTAATGCATACTTTAAATGAAGTGACGTATCGCTCAACTTTTTAAAATGAATCTTATCTGCTGATTTTTCTCCCTGTAAAAAAAAATTAGTATTTTAATTTTGTCTTAAAGTAACACATTTCTATGGTCACTGTTTTGCCACAAATTATATAATTTAAATACTGTAATTTTTTATTCTTAAGAATAAAAATTCTCAGTAGAACACATTCAAAATGCATTCCATTAAACTAAAACTCCTAACTATGCATGTGCTAAAAGGTCTTTGTGACCTCTAGCAAGATTGATGAATTGAAAATACATTTAAAGATCACTTCCTTATTGTAAAATTTTGAACTGCTTGTATAAATAAGCAAATTTTAGCTTTTATTTGCAAGCAGTTCTCATTCAAACTGCAAAATCCATGAATGGCAAAATATATAAACACTCCAATTAATTTTGTATTTGCTTACTGAATGTTTTAATATATAAAATTGAAATGAATTTAATTGTGGAATTCTTTAATACAAATCTTGAATATCTAAAAAATATTACTTTTCAAAGTTGTTTTGGATCCAAATATTTTCATATTGGACTGTGGTATGCATATCTAAGATAATAAATTAATCTTTAGATGATCTTTTAGTTTAAAATACAGTGGAACCTTGGTATACGACCTTAATTCGTTCCTGGTGTTTGGACTTATACTGAATAGGACGTATACCAAACCAACCTTTCCCATAAAAAGTAATGTAAAAATGATTAATCTGTTCTCATGTAAAAAAAGAAAAAAAAAATAGCTGGCTTTAAACACCTTGCTTTCCTGGCTAGTTCCTGCTTGATTTTTCATGAGATCAGCATGTATTTTTTTTAGCTTTCTCGCAAATAATTGCTTCTGATACGCTGTCGCCAGCACACTGTTTTTCAGTTATCCAAAGCAATAGCAATTTCTCAACATGATCTAATGTCTTCGATATCTGTTTAGAAATTGATTTAACCCCTTTTGCAATGTTAGCAGATTTATGTCTTTATTTTTCACAATTGTCGATATTATCGTTCTCGGAATAAGGTATGCAACAGTTAAATCTCAAATACACATGCCACCTTCATATTTCTCAACAATTTCTTTTTTCAGTTCCATTTTGATTCTAGTAAATTTTTTAGTTTTCTGCTGCTTTTCATTTGCCTTTTTGCAATTCATGATTAATAAAAATAATAAAATTTTACTTACAATTAAAATCAGAAGAAATTTAACAAAGTTATAAACTGTGGCACCGCGAACGTCTAGTCTGGTCTAGTACACCGATAGTACTACTTGTTCATAGATGGCGTGTATAATTAAGTCATATACCAAACAAAAGTCATATACCGAGCAAAATTTGTTTAGTCCAAACAAGACGTATTCCGAATTGGACATATTCTAAAGCAGACATATACCAAGGTACCACTGTAATTTTTTTGAACAGTTGATTTATTTCATTTTATTTTATTCCACATTGTTCTATGGAAATCTAAAATTATTTAATACAATTTTTTTTTCCTCACTAAAATTTCTTAATGTTTAGTCTTTCCAGATTATTCTGATGATGATGATGATGATTATGATGATGAAGAGGATGAGGAGGAGGAACAGAATGAAGAAAAGGAAGATGAAATAAAAATGAAAACTAAAAAAGTCTCTCTTGTAGATGTGTCTGAAAAATTGCCTAAAAAAAGAAAGGTTTCTAAATCTGATGGATTGCCAAAAAAGGTGAAAGACCTTACTAAACCTGTCTTATAACAAAATAGCATGGTTAGTAATGCAATCTTACAAACAGTGTGAGNTATAAACAAACAACAGCTAACCCGAGAAGTGATAAAAAGATAACAAATACAAAAATTTCAGTAATTAAACTTTACTTTTTAAATGTAGTTTGTTTAAATTTAGATTGTGCTGGGACCTTGTAGAGATTCAGAATGTGAAGTGAATGTTGTAGAAATTGAAACAACTGATTATGAAGATAATGTAATTACTGCAACACTTGCAGTACTCCAGTCAACAAGGGAAAAAAGATTTGCTGAGGTAAATACATACTGAATTTTAGCAACTTGAGTGCACTCATGTTGAAATATTTAATGACGTGTTTAATTTATCTTGAATTTGATTATTTTTTTACTTTTCTTATGATATGTAGTATTATTCCAGTTGTTCTCTCAAATTAAAAAGAAAAGGCAGCATAGTTTATTATTCATGAACAAAATTTCAGTGTGTCCTCAGTTATGAATAAAATTACATTTTTCCATTTCACCTATTATGCAAAAAGTTGTTACTTATAATAGTGTTCAGTTTCATAACTTAGATGCACTGAACCAACAAGGAAGTGTCAAACAAACTTCAGCTTTATTAACTCTCTCTCTATAGACTCTTGGCCAGTGTTGTCTTTCAGTTTTTTGCTAAATCTTTCTATTCTTCATGCTATTCTTCTTTCTCACTAGAACGTAAATTGAGTTCTCTAGAATAGTACTTTCCTAGACTTTAGTCATGTAAAACTAAATTTTATCATGAGAATTGTGATCCTATTAAACTTTAGGATTTTTTAAATGCCACATTTGAAAACCTCAGTTGCAAATAGAAATGTTAACTATATCATTTCTTCAAGTTAAAAAGAACTTAAGCTTAGTTTATACATCTTTCCCCCCAAAATTAGAGGAATAGCTTAGCAAATGTTTCTTTCCCCCACAAAAAAATTGCTTGCTACTTTCAGGTATTTTAACCTCTAGCAATATCATATTTTAAGCACTTAGTTGTGCTTAATAACATTAGTGTCTTAATTTTTTTTACAGGTTTTCATTTCCTATGTTTGCCTTTCATTTTTAGGCTAAGTATGTTTGTTTATTATTGTTTAGTTTGTTGCCTCACAAAAAAAAAAACTGCCATGGATACTACTGTATGTATGTTTTGGTATTATACTTTCTAGTATTGGTTTCTTAAAACCAAAATGATGCAAAATATATTCTTTATTTTTCTCATTTTAAAATTTTAAATTCTTTTTCCACCAGAATTTTGTTTGGAATAAAAAGTTCAGATGAAGATCAAACTTATTAATCATTATTTAGCTAAAACTATCAAGTGCCTTTTTATTCTATTCATCCAGTATTCTAAGTCTGTTTTTTTTTATTTTTCATAAACAGCTTATCTATGAACAAGCAGTGTTTTTATTTCTTAGAACTTTACACTGGTCTAAAAGTTTAACTTTGCAAAAAAAATGAGTTAACTTGTTTATAAACTCTTCTAGTTTCTCACAGAATAAACTTAATTTTTATTCTAACTTACATATCTTAATTTTTTTTATTTTAGACACAATTAGATATAATGATTCCCAGACAACAAGTGACGTTAAAGTTGGTTGAAGGATCCGGACCTGTATCAATTTTTGGGCATCATGTTACAGGTAACTAAAAGGTTGAATTTGTTTTTTTCTTTCTTTAAACTTGAACTAAGTGACTAAGTTTTTCATTTGTGTGTGTAATGCATGCAGAATATGTAATGACTCATTTAGAAAATGGCATTAATAAGTTGCTTTAGATGAGAGGGGGGATTTAAGATAGTGCTGGCAAAAAATGAAGTTTTTTTTTATATTGATAAACCAGTTTAAAATATCAGATGCCAAGTTAATTTAAAAACTCTTTGAATTCAATAAATTTAATGTTTTTTAATAATAAAAAGTGCAATAATAAACTAATATTTACTGTAATACTGTAAAGATTCAAGAATATGCTTATATCATGTATTTCTGCCAAGATAGGCCATTGTTTTTTTGATGTTGGTAAATGGAGTGTAAATAGCATTTGAAAATATTTTTTTAAAAAAATCATTTTTAAATTCATGCTAGTTTGTTCTTTAATTTTTAAAATTTAAATGTGAATAATCAATTTATTGTGATATTATCAAAATGCTGAGCTGCAATTTTTAATCATATTAATTTAAAATATATATTTTCCTCCTCAAATTAGTAGTGGCCTCCCCCTGTACGTAATACTTTTCCTTTAACAATAGTTGTGCCAGTCATCTATCTAACACCTTTTTAGGGGAAAATTTTTGAATTGAAATTACATGACTTCTGGTTTGGTTTGCATTCGAAATTTGTATATAGTTAATTGGGGCCTCCTGCTTCTAAGGTTTCCATATCTTGTCTCATCTTTCATCTATCTAACATTGTTCTTGAGATTAAGGAAAGACAGTGGGAATTTATAGGTCTACAATTTTTTCAAATTGAAGCCCAATAATGCATGGCATAATTTGAAAAAAGTGGATAGTGTTTAATAAGAGTTTTTCTCTAGAAAGTTGTGTAAAGAGATCTACCAATTGATTTCATGTCTAAATCAGATGTGCCAGATTTGTAATTTTTGTATTGATACTTTTGCACCTAAAAAATTTCTGGTATGAAAGGCTTTGATGTATCCACAAATTAGAAATAACTATGGGTTAAAGAAATTAAAGATGCCCATCCTGTGGTAACTGTTTTAAATTAATCAGGCTCATCTATGTGTTTGGCCATACCCACAATAGGGTGGCTGGATATGAAGGCATATTCAACCACTCTATTGTGGGTATCGCCAAACATCCAGATGAGCCTGGGATTGGGCCTGACGTGACATCCAGAACAGACCATTCCAAAAATTTTTTAGTTTATTTTCAGTCTGCTGGATTTGTTCTTAGGCCCCAAATCATAGGCTGACACCTTACTCATTTGGCTGTTCAGCTGTCGTCCATACATCTTGAAGGTCCCAAAACATATGTAATACTTTCTTGAAACACTTTAATTAGCAATAAAACTATGACTAATGCTTTCATGTCTGATTTGTCCCCACTTAGCAGTGCCCAATATTTTATCTTGAACAAAAAAAAAAA